ATATAAACAATTCCTTGAAATATTGACTATCCTGTATTATATAAACAATTCCTTGAAATATTGACTATCCTGTATTATATAAACAATTCCTTGAAATATTGACTATCCTGTATTATATAAACAATTCCTTGAAATATTGACTATCCTGTATTATATAAACAATTCCTTGAAATATTGGCTATCCTGTATTATATAAACAATTCCTTGAAAAATTGACTATCCTGTCTCATATAAACAATTCCTGGAAATATTGGCTATCCTGTATTATATAAACAATTCCTTGAAATATTGACCATCCTGTATTATATAAACAATCCCTTGAAATATTGACTATCCTGTATTATATAAACAATTCCTTGAAATATTGACCATCCTGTATTATATAATCAATTCCTCAAAATATTGACTATCCTGTCTCATTGTTACGCGAGCCATGCTCCGTGTATAAAGTCTAGTTGATGCCCCTGTGAGTTTCTGAGTTCTCCCTGCGGATCTGTACAGAACGTATTGTGAATTAGGGTTTCCAGCGAACGAAACTTTTCGCGAAAAAAAGCAAAAATTTTCCGATCGCATTTCGAAAATGCGTAATGCGAAAAGTGCAGCATTTTAAAATACTGCATCTACATTTAACATTTTTATAAATTTGTCCACGCTGCTTTTTCAGCATTAGCCAAATTATGATAAATACTGAGGTCGTCTTTAGAATGTTCGAAGTTGAATTAATATTTTTAAAAATATCTAATTCTTTGAAACTCTTGAAATTTAGATTAAATGACAAAAGGCAACTTAAACCAAGATGTCTGTAAAATAAAATGTAATGAAAAGACGACATTTTTATTTTTTTTTGATGTTTTGCTTTAACTTATAAAAAGATGATTGCTATTTTTGTATCTAACACTGAAATTACACTTCAGTCGTCTTCGTTTATGAAAATATAATGAAGACGACTTTTCATATTAATTTTGATTTCATTAACAGCTTTTAAATTCAAACAGCAATACACATAAAAATGAGAAGAAAGAGAAGCTTTTTATAATTTAAAAAACGCTGGTTAGTAATTAAAACTGAAATTGAAAGGTCGTCTTTCTTGTATCTATATAAACACCAGCTATTGAATTCCATATTATCGCTTTTTATAAATATTAAATATGAATTTAATGTTTTGTTTTGAGCTATTTTCTACTTCAATTTAGTTGCTTTAATTTAGTTAGTAATGCTAATAATTTGTTTAATTCTAAACTACTTTTCTAAGCTAAATAACTCATGAACCCCTTGACCGATTTGCCCCAGATTTTGATTGGAGAACACAGTAGAATCACGAGAATGTTTTTAGCTTGGATTAAAAGTTTACAGTCGATTTTTGTAGAAAAATTTGGTTTCCAACAATTGGTGTTCTTGCGTCTTTTGTCTGTCTGTTTTTTTGTCCGATAATAACACTTTTTTCCAAAAGATGAACAATAAAAAANGAAATGTTGTCAGCTAAGAATGTGAATCTGTACTAAACATTAATTCAAGGATATAAGTTTTCCTTCTCAACATTCTTCAAATCCTTCAAGCGCCAGGACAACATTGCTAATTCTATCAATTTAAAAACAATTTTCTACATTTATTCTTTCTTTTCACCATACAGGGGAACCTTTTCTACTCAAGAATTGGAAGACGAATGTTAGACTGAAAACACCAACAAAGACTTTTTTAACCTAGTGAAGAAATGGGGCATAGTCAGGAAATTTTCCAGGGGGCTTAACATGTTTTTCTTAAGGGGCTCGGGCAATCACCCTCCGTCGACCATCGGAGCCCAAAAACCTCCCTGAAACCCATAGATTTTACTGATCCAGGGAGGACTATAAGCCCCATAGCCCCCCTTAATAACTGACCCTCCATGCTAAGATGGCAATGCCAGATTCACAACGGTACCCATTAAAACTTTAAACATGATCATGGGGAGTGTTCTCAAAAAACGAAAGGGGGTATAGGCTTACGGCGAAAAATAATCGCTTTTGATAGCTATTAATTTTATTTCTATCTGTTGCGTCTATAAGGAGAAAATTGTTAAAAACGACTTATACTGAAGAACGTAGCGTCCATACAAATTCAGAAAGTTGCAATATACGACTTGAATCGTAAAAAATCAATTTAAAGTGGCCGCCAGATGTCTCAGCTCTCGATGCTTTGAATGATTACACGTGGCAGAGATACTTAGCGGGAAAAATTCGTTTTAAGTGCATTGTATATTAAACAAATGACAAATATTATGAAATTTGTTGCTTCTTTACAAAAAGTGACACGCGCATTTCTACTGCAGGAAAACATCATCAGATTTTAACACCTTTGAACCTAGAAAAGAGACAATAGATCCCACATAATTGATTTAGATAATCATTTTTAGTGTAGATTGTTGTAAATCGGGCATTGCCATCTTTGCAAGGAGGGTCACTTGAAAATACGCTTACAGTCCCTTTAAGCCGAATTTAAACTTGCTGTGACCAACAAAAAATAAAATAAAAACCTTAGATAATATATATTTTACAACAAAAACTGTTTTATTTTGAATCGAAACCGGTGTATAGAATAAACATTGATTTATATTTTATCACATTGAATATGTAAATTGTATATTTTGTGCAAAATTTTAAAAGATTTTGTTAACACAAAAGTAAAATACAGCGCTATATTTACAGAATTAAGTTGAATTATTTTTCTGTTTTGGTTGAAAATATTGAAGCAAAGTGAGCAAAATATCAAACATATTTAATGGATGACAGACAAACAAATCTGAATCAATGAACTTACATGCATAAGAAAGCAAATATGTGAATTTTATTGAGTTCTATAATTTCTTAAAAATATAGATTGTTTCAATAAATCGTAACTAAAAAGAAAACTTATATTATTTAATTTTAACATATTTTTAACCCTTTTAAAGTATCTCAAAGAATTGTGTAAACCAACGCTAATCAAAGTTATATTATATATCAAAATTTCTTACGTAAATATCTTATTTTAGTTTTTGGTAATTAATTTACATTTTGATTCAAGCTAAATTAAATATATTTGTTCTCTCTGATAATAATATGAAATCTTATAAAAATGCAATAAATACAAAATATAAATATAAATAAAATGGAAAAGCCTCGTATTTGTGATTGAATAACAGATTAGCTTTTAATAATTATAGATGAGGCTTTAGAAAGCTTTATGATGAGATTACAGCTGCGTTAGAAGTGAAAAAACGGACTGAGCGCTGTGGCTAGCACATTGGGAAAACAGGTCTTCTGAATATGTTATTTTGGAAGATGGAGATGAGATGAGAAAGAAGAAGAAGAGGAGGGAGGGATGAGAGAGGAAGATTACAAGGAGAAGAGGATGAGAAGAGGAAGGAGAAGAAGAGGAGGAGGAAGGGAGGAGAGAGGAAGATTACCAGGAGAAGAAGATGAGAAGAGGAAGAAGAAGAAGAGGAGGAGGAAGGGAGGAGAGAGGAAGATTACAAGGAGAAGAAGATGAGAAGAGGAAGAAGAAGAAGAGGAGGAGGAAGGGAGGAGAGAGGAAGATTACCAGGAGAAGAAGGAGAAGAGGAAGAAGAAGAAGAGGAGGAGGAAGGGAGGAGAGAGGAAGATTACAAGGAGAAGAAGATGAGAAGAGGAAGAAGAAGAAGAGGAGGAAGGGAGGAGAGAGGAAGATTACAAGGAGAAGAAGATGAGAAGAGGAAGAAGAAGAAGAGGAGGAAGGGAGGAGAGAGGAAGAGAACTAGAATCTACAGAGAATACTGCGGACTGAGTTGGACACATGTTTGAGCCTACACTGTACTCCTGACAGTGTCCCTGGACTAGGGGACCTGACATACGGTCCAGGAATCCCTAAACAAACAAATATATCTGAAAATATAAAGGAATTCAGGTCCAGGAATCCCTAAACAAACAAATATATCTGAAAATATAAAGGAAATCAGGTCCAGGAATCCCTAAACAAACAAATATATCTGAAAATATACAGGAATTCAGGTCCAGGAATCCCTAAACAAACAAATATACTGAAAATATAAAGGAATTCAGGTCCAGGAATCCCTAAACAAACAAATATATCTGAAAATATAAAGGAATTCAGGTCCAGGAATCCCTAAACAAAAAAATATATCTGAAAATATAAAGGAATTCAGGTTTTGCCACACACTAAATTTTCTAATACCTACAGTTTAACCCAAAACTTCCGAGCCATTGAAAATATTTACAAAATGTCGTCTTTGACAATGTTTCAATGGATTTTGAATACTTAAATCTCAGTATTTGTAAAAATAAATGAATAGCCAAGAAACAGTGGGATGATTGTTGTCTCCTTTTTTCCTTGATTAGGAATTGTCGAATTGGCTTTTATGAATTTGTAATTGATAGAAATAATATTTTTCTAAAAATTTCAGGGAACATTAACAAATAATTGAAGAGTGTCCCCAAAAAACCTAAGAATAGAGTGACAAGCTCGAGATCGTATTTATTATTTATTATTCAATTATTTATAAAGAATATCTTGAAATTGTCAACCGATTCCTGTGTTTATTAGGACACCCTGTACCTTAGTAAATGTAGCATTACTAGCTCCACATGTAGTGTTTACCTTAGTAAATGTAGCAGTGCTAGCTCTACATGTAGTGTTTACCTTAGTAAATATAGCAGTGTTAGCTCCAAATGTAGTGTTTACCTTAGTAAATGCAGCAGTGCTAGCTCTGCACGTAGTGTTTACCTTAGTAAATGTAGCAGTGCTAGCTCCACATGTAGTGTTTACCTTAGTAAATGTAGCAGTGCTAGCTCCACATGTAGTGTTTACCTTAGTAAATGTAGCAGTGCTAGCTCCACATGTAGTGTTTACCTTAGTAAATGTAGCAGTGCTAGCTCCACATGTAGTGTTTACCTTAGTAAATGTAGCAGTGCTAGCTCCACATGTAGTGTTTACCTTAGTAAATGTAGCAGTGCTAGCTCCACATGTAGTGTTTACCTTAGTAAATGTAGCAGTGCTAGCTCCACATGTAGTGTTTACCTTAGTAAATGTAGCAGTGCTAGCTCCACATGTAGTGTTTACCTTAGTAAATGTAGCAGTGCTAGCTCCACATGTAGTGTTTACCTTAGTAAATGTAGCAGTGCTAGCTCCACATGTAGTGTTTACCTTAGTAAATGTAGCAGTGCTAGCTCCACATGTAGTGTTTACCTTAGTAAATGTAGCAGTGCTAGCTCCACATGTAGTGTTTACCTTAGTAAATGTAGCAGTGCTAGCTCCACATGTAGTGTTTACCTTAGTAAATGTAGCAGTGCTAGCTCCACATGTAGTGTTTACCTTAGTAAATGTAGCAGTGATAACTCCACATGTAATGTTTACCTTAGTAAATGAAGCAGTGCTAGCTCCACATGTAGTGTTTACGACTGCTTCGCTACAATGTAAATATTCTTGAAAACTGCAACACAGGATCTGAAAGTAGCAAACGTTAGGTTAAAAAAGAAAGTAGTAGAAGTAGATAATATGCAAGAAAAAAGTAGAAGTAGAGAATATACAAGAAAATAGTAGAAGTAGATAATATGCAAGAAAATAGTAGAAGTAGATAATGTGCAAGAAAATAGTAGAAGTAGATAATATGCAAGAAAATAGTAGAAGTAGATAATATACAAGAAAATAGTAGAAGTAGATAATATACAAGAAAATGGTAGAAGTAGAGAATATACAAGAAAATGGTAGAAGTAGAGAATATGCAAGAAAATAGTAGAAGTAGAGAATATACAAGAAAGAAGTAGAAGTAGGTAATATACAAGAAAATAGTAGAAGTAGAGAATAAATAAGAAAGTAGTAAAAGTAGAGAGCAAATAAGAAAATAGTAGAAGCAAAGAAAGTAGTAGAAGTAAAGAATATACTAGAAAATAGTAATATGGAAATATACAAGTAAGTAGTGGAGGTAAAGAATAAATAAGAAAGTTTAGGTTAATTATCAAGAAGTAGAATAGTATAATAATCAACTATTACTCAGAATACATTCAGACACAAAGTATTAAAGTAATAAAGGTCAAAATATTCAATTTTGTGCGTCCTTTTCAAAGAAGGTGCGTCCATGCCTCATAATTTACCTGTACATTATCCTCATCAGTGCCCTTTGCGCCACTTTTTTCCGGCTGGAAACAGAAAATTCAAGCAATGATAATTGTTAAAATGTAATTATGGTAATCCAGGGGACGGGATGTATATATTCAAGAATGATTTTTATAGATATGTGGGAAAAAAATCAAAAAAATCAACACACATAACTTCTGGGTGAATATCAAAGGGGAGGAGAACAATTTCATAACAGCAGTGCTGATATGATCGGGTATAATATAAAGTTATAGTTTTATATATTATAGCACAGTGCTACAGAGCTTTGTTTTCTCAGAATTTTCTCAAACAAAAGGTAATTTTTAGAATTTCATTCAATTTTAATAAAAATTAAATCAAAATTATTTTTTTAATAATCTCTGCTTTGTCGAAGTTGGTTTTATTTAGAAATAACCACATCGAGGAGAGAATACCTTTTAACAACAAGAATAATCGTGTTTTAAAATAGTTAACAATGATTATTAAATACAGACGAATCTCACAAACTAAAACATATATCTTCTTACCTTGTTTAAAGCCTTTATTTTCAACTGATATTCTTGTGCACATGATTCATATTCAGCTTGAGCCTTTCTCATACAGGGAGCATGCTGCAGATATTCTAAACAATATTCATCATATAGAGAGCATGCTGCAGATATTCTAAACAATATTAATCATACAGAGAGCATGCTGCAGATATTCTAACAATATTCATCATATAGGGAGCATGCTATAGATGTTCTAAACAATATTCATCATACAGGGAGCATGCTATAGATGTTCTAAACAATATTCATCATTTTGGGAGCATACTATAGATTTTCTAAACAATATTCACCATATAGGGAGCATGCTATAGATGTTCTAAACAATATTCATCATACAGGGAGCATGCTATAGATATTCTAAACAATATTCATCATACAGGGAGCATGTTAAAGATGTTCTGAACAATATTCATCATATAGGGAGCATGCTATAGATATTCTAAACAATATTCAAAATATAGGCAGCATGCTGCAGATATTCTAACAATATTCATCATATAGGGGGCATGCTGCAGATATTTTAAACAATATTCATTATATAGGGAGCATGCTGCAGATATTCTAAACAATATTCATTATACAGGGGGCATGCTATAGATAAACCAGTATTCATCATACAGGGAGCATGCTGCAGATATTCTAAACAATATTCATTATACAGGGGGCATGCTATAGAAATTCTAAACAATATTCATCATATAGGGAGCATGCTGCAGATATTCTAAACATTATTCATGATATAGGGAGCATGCTGCAGATATTCTAACAATATTCATCATACAGGAAGCATGCTGCAGATATTGAAAAGTAAAGTGGGTCTGTTAACACTGCACAATTGCTGTCTTTTATTCATTGGACTATTTCAAGACATACAAGATATAAGCTTGAAACGTTTAATGGGTCTGTTAACAGTTCCACTGCACAATTTCTATTTAGCATGTTTATTGGACTATCTTAACTCACTATATTTTACATTTCTTTGAGAAAAAGCATAGATAAATCTTTGGGAAAAAGCCAAAGAAAACTGCAGTCTCTAGAGATTTTACCTTTGGGAATGTGCTTAACATTATTTAAAGCCATTCATACAGGAGAAAAATTTTAAATTGAGATTTATTCCTCAAATCGGTGAACGTTGTCCATTCCCGTCAGAAGGTAAACTGAGGATAAACTTGAGCGCTAAAGCCACAGGTTTATAATTTACAGGTACTACCCTTAGGTTTGTTTACAAAAAATAAACATCTTAGTTTCTACCTGTCTGATATTGACCCTGATTACAGAGGTCCGAAATGACCTGCGTGGTCCCGGTGTACAGCGTATTAAAGTATGCTCGGTGTTCTCGTTCCAGGCATTTCTGCGTAAACGTGTCGATACACCTCAGTCCGTCCATTAATTTACTAAACATACAGATATTCTTGAATGTCGTCTTTACTTTTATAGAGTTGGGACCAATCAAGGTTGTATAATATGGTCGAATCTCTATGTGCTGTAATGTACGGAAAATGTCACTGATTACAGAGGCAAGAGTGACGTCATACGAGGTTTTTATCCATATACCTGAGATAGACGATAATTTCCGTACACATCAATTTACAATTTACGTGTGATTTACATTTAAGGTAAAATTACAATTATTTAATTTCTGAAAGGGACTAGAGTCAAAATTTCTAGGGACTCTCTTTTTAACGGAGTTGATGTCCGATTCATAAACCTACCCCTTCAAAGCTATGTCTGATTCAGACTGAATTAGATATTTATGTTTAACTCTTCAAAAGGTCATTACTGTCATTTGTGGTTTCTCTACAAAAGCATTTCTTCTGCATATACAACGGGAGGAAATTAGCAGAATTAAACACTTTTCCAGATTTTCTTTCACTCGTCACATCATTGATGAGATAAAAGTTTAATTTAAAGGTTTCATGAATTTATAACGACAGTCGCTTCAGGTAAATAATTAGTATTAAGATAATTGCCAATGTAGAACAAACACGATCTATTTCAAAATCCTTACATCTCATGTTAATTGGAACACATTGTATCGTAAAACTGTAAAACGCTTGTTGATTTGTTCAAATATGTTTTTGTGTTATTTAAACAAAGAATAATGGTGACAATATGATTGATTGATTGCCAACAAGAAGTTAAAACATAAATAAATAAATAAATGTGTAAATATAGCCCGCTATGAAAACAATAGCAATATGCATGTGAAATATGTGAAATATATATTTTGTATATTTCTTGTCTTTCAGTTTAGATGTCAGTTTATCTACAAGCTATATCGTTAGCAGTCTGTCAGTTTATCTGTCAACAATACTGTTAGCTGTCTGTCAGTTTATCTGTTGCTGTCTGTTAGTTGTATATTAGTCTACCTGTTCCTGTCTGTTAGTTTATCTGTCAGCTGTACTGTAAGCTGTCTATCAGTTTATCTGTTAGTTTATCTTTTGACTGTCTGTCAGTTTATCTGTTAACTGTCTATTAATTTATCCGTAGCTGTCTGTCAGTTTATCTGCAGCGTTTCTGTCAAATTGTCTGTCAGCTTATCTGTCAAATTTTCTGTCAACTTGTCTGTCAACATGTCTGTCAACTTGTCTACCAACTTGTCTGTCCACTTGTCTTTCAACTTGTTTGTCAACTTGTTTGTCAACTTGTCTGTCAACTTGTCTATCAACTGATAACTTACGGACACATTTGTTCAAGTTCCTGATAAGATGTTGCAAATCCTAGATCCTTGTTGTCTGTAACTACCCTCAAAGGATCAGTGCACCTGGAAAAGCGTTAAACACTTCAAATTAAACACTTCAAATAAACCCTAACCATTGGGCTTTATTGGTCAAAATATAGCCCTGCAGTCGGGTGGGCATGGGAGGTGTTTTCCATCCATAGAGAATAGAATATATAGAGAGGAATTTACTAGAAAAAAGTGTAAAACGTCCATTTTGTTTTACTGTTTCCATACTGCAGGTGTACTTCACATATTTATGCTATATAACCTGTTGGGCCCTGAAATATCATTTTATAGAAAATCTAAATTTATTGTTAAAAGAAAACCAAATTATGAAATAGGCTGGTTTCATAATTGACCAATGATCATTTCACATAGACTCTATGCCTTCCACTTTACAAACGTTGATTTTCCGTTATAACTATAAATCAAATTATGTTTTTATTCCCCTAATGTATATATAAATTTGGCTTGTCTGTCTGTTTGTTTGTCTGTTTGTTTGTTTGTTTGTATCCAATAAACGTCAAAACGGCTGAACCGATCGGGCCCAAATTTATGAATGATTAAAATTTCAAATATTTGTCTCCATCAAAATTCGATCTTCATTAAATTTTTGAAAATTTTGAAAATCCACGAAATTTTTGTGAAAATCCGCGAATTATTTTTGTCTTGATTTACGATGTACGCAAAGAGAACATGTTACCAATTAATTTAGAAGATGGGAGCGAAGCGCCCTACAAGGCTAGTTCATTATAAAGTTTATTTAACAGTTTGAAAAATTCGAAATTGAAATGGATAGTCTAGGGAACATACTGTATTAAAGTACTCTACTGCATATAATTAGTGAACATTTACATGATTTGTACACTTTGAACTTCCTTTCAGGCTGAAAGGAACTAAAAAATTCATACCGAGAGATTCTTTTAATTCCTCTCTATATATTCTATTCTCTATGTTTCCATCCCCATGAATTCCAAAATCAGTGTTTATATCAATACAATGAAGACGATTTTACTATTTAAGTTTTGATTTCTGACACGCTTTTTTAATATTACAAGTGAACCAGTGAACAAAGAGAGGCTTTTAATGGACAGCTTTTCTTTTTTATGTTTATGTGTATCCATGCCGTTTAAAGCTTGGTAGAAATCCAAAATTTTAATCGAAAGTCGTCTTCATTGTATTGATATATTCGACGAAGACTGTATTATTCTTTCCTTCACTTAGCTCTTATGTTTTTACTTACTTGGCCATAATATTTGCACTACAATCGTTCATGAATACACTCCCGATGCATCCTAAAAAAGAACCATTTATAAATATCAATAATTGTTTCCGAATCGGCAGTGTATCTGTAATATATATATATATAAATAGTGATCTCTGTTTGTTTGATTGCTTGGCCGATTGGGGAAATCGGGAGAATCACGGGAATGTTCTTAGCTAGGTTTTACAATTTTAAGTTGAGTGGGTCGACTTTTATAGGGGAAATCCAGGCAAAGCTGGGTTCCCAAGCAACTTTTCTATATTTTTAACAAAAATTATTTTATTTTGTACTGCTGTTGACAACTCGTAAGATATCGAAAATATAATTATAATAAAGATTGTGGAATAAAGTGGATGTTTTCTTGGAAAGGAATTCAAAAAGAGCAAGCTTGATTCTAAAAGTGGATACAATTATTTTCCAGGAACCTTAGCTTATACAGGAAGTCCCCAAAAAAAGGGGAATAAATTGAGACAAATTTTAAATTGTCTTTTTTTCGATTATTGAAAATCATATCTACCCTCTTTGTGTTTTTCTACAGTGGTAGGCGATTATAGCAATAGACGACTTTTTATTTCAGTTTTGATTGTTCACAAGCTTTCTTCGAGTTACAAGTTTACATTAATTAAAGAGACGCTTTTTTAATTGAGAACTCCTATTGACTTCAATGTTGTGTATCTATGCTGTTTAACAGCTTAAAGGGACTGTAAAGGAAAAATGAAAGGGGGTATAGGCTGAAAGCTAATCACTTTAGCTCTTGATCGTGACCCATGAAAGTTTTATCTGATGTTCTTGGCTCGAGAAATTGATATAAAACTGTGTTAAAATTATACGAAAGTTCATATATGTAAAATTTAGAAAATCTTAAACTTAAATCACGTGACCAGAACTTTCATCAATGGCAGAGCAGTATACTGGTCATGTGTCTCCGTCTGTATCACGTGACCACTTTACCGCACTGCCATTGGTAGAATTTCTGGTCAAGCAATACGGACGTATAAATAATATTATGAATTAAATCTATAACAAATAGAAATAACAAATATAAAATTAGAATTGGAGTAAACCTAAGTTATAATTAGCTTTCTCTGGGATACATCGTTTTCAGATTGGTTGCATATTTGCTGAATTTGATCTTTTTAAACCCACTACTTTTATACAAAATTGTATATATATTAATTTTCGTATAAATTTGACAAAGTTGTAAATCAGTTTCTCGAGATAGGAACATCAGATATAACTTTAATGGGTCGCGATCAAGAGCTAAAGTGATTAGCTTTCAGCCTATACCCCCTTTTATGTCTCCTTTACAGTTCCTTCAATATAAATCAAAATTGAAATAGAAAGTTGTCTACATTGTATAGATTTAATCGCTTATCACACTGTATTTAAATAAACTTAAATCATGACGAAAAAAATCAGTGTAAGAAGATATCTTGAAAAAATTTCTGATAATCTCTGTTGATAATAAAAATGTAAAAAGGGAGTTTTCATTTTGGACATCCCAGGATAAGAAACAGTGTGTGTTGTTTAAACTCAATATGAAAACGACATCGATCAGGACAACCCGAATTTTTAATAAAAAATCTGTTTAAAAATCCTTTCATTTTGAGCTCACAAAAATGTAAAAAAATTACCTATCAAAAACACAAATAGTATTTCCAACATTTTTTTCATCTCAATTCACGAGTTCTATACTTCTAGTTTTAATTCTGGTTCTGGTTCTGGTTCTGGTTCTGGTTCTGGTGCTGGTTCTGGTTCTGGTTCTGGTTCTGGTTCTGGTGCTGGTTCTGATTCTGGTTCTGATTCTATTTTCTTGTAAACTAAACAACTTTATGTGCTGTAGTTCATTTCCATCTAAACTATAATGTCAACAGTAAATGTATGAAGACTAGAGTTTAGAACTGACTTTTATACATTTTATATATTTTATATATTTTATACATTTTACAAGCTTCTCTTTATAACCAAACACTGTTCATCGGCGTAACAAGAAGATTTAAATTTAAAAATTAAACATTTGTATTAAAATGCGTTAAAAAAATATTGTTTTGCAAATGGTTGTACCTGAACAACAAGATATCAACAAGATATAATATGCATGTTATCATATGATGTAATAATATGTTATATATGTTATCAGTTTAAAGCGAAAATATGAATAATGTGTGAAGTACAAATCAGAGGAATCGTAGAAATAATTATAATAACTAATTCAATAAGATTATTTAAAGAATACAAAAATTTACTCTATCTTCGAATTAACCTGTCTTAGAAATGTCCTATTATAAATTGTCCTATCTATGAAATGTCCTATCTATGAAATGTCCTATCTATGAAATGTCCTGTCTATGAAAAATCCTATCTACGAAAAGTTCTATATCTCTAAATTGTCCTATCTATGAAATGACTTTCAATTAAATGTCAAAGCTATAACACCAACATTATATGATTTTTTTTTATTTCTGATTTTTTTGTAAAATTCTTAATTCAACTTTTTGCGATATTCATTATTTTATAATTATAATTATAATTATAATTATAATTCATTATTTGCCCGTGTAATTAAAAAAATAAATCATGTTACCACCAGGTTCCCTTGAACAAATTCAGCCAATTTGGTCCAGCCGTTTAGGCCGAATTGAACGAGATATAACAAATAAAAAGTAAGCCAATTATTTGCATTTATTAAGTCATAACAGTTGTAAGGTTATGATTTGATAACATTTAATGCAGAGCTAGGAACTTTAGAATGGATAACCTTAAATTCAAACTACTTAATCCGAATTTCCAGCGTGGCAGCTTTTAATTTTAGTCCTAATCTACTCTTTTTCTCTCTCTTTGGATATCCGTACATTATTTTCTCCAATGAGAGTGCAGGAATATAATTCGTAAATTGTATTGACCAATGACAGCCTTGAAAATAAATTCTATCCCATGAGAGAAATCCGCAATTTCTAAGAAATAAAGAATTTGTTGTCGGCCATTTTAAAAATTAATCGGCGAAGAAAAATATTTAATAATACGTTTGAGATTCTTTTGTAACCAATTTTAACTAATGTATTAATGAATAAATGTGTGAGAAATTAAGTGAAGGCCCTTCCAGTCAAGAAAACGAACCAATCTAGCGTTCTTAGAATCCAATTTGTTGATCTAAACATATCATCTCAAGACTAATATAATCTCGAGACTATGTTATAGTCTCGAGATTAGCAAAAACAGAGGATTAAGCATTAATCCTGATATCCACCATTCTAAAGTTCCCAGCTCAATTTCACTCTAAATTTGTGCGTTTTTTTGTTATCTCATTCAATTTTAAATGAATTTTTATGAAATTTTGGAAAACAATAGATCAGAATAAACAATAGAATTTGTGCACAAAATGCAGATTATGCGTACTTGTTTATATTTTAAAACACTGGAAAAATCAAGGATTTAATGCAAGGAAAGTTATTTCAGAGGTGTACGCATCTTTTGTACTTCAGTGTACTGTCACTGGGCGGTAATGTAAACACAAGACGGATGTCGAAGCCTGACATGGGATCCATCTTTCACATAAATTAATCAATGGAATATTCTGGTCATAGGAAACTTTTATGTGAATTATCAAAATTATCAAAATTCAATGCTTTTAACCTCCTCGGATGCTAAACGAACACCGAGGCATCTATTTTTGTTTACAAATTCCGCCCAAAGAGAACTGGTTTCAATATGTATGCACTGCAAAGTATACGCAACTGCAATTAACTTTCCTTGCATTACATTCTTGGGAAAAATGGCCAGCTTTTTCAAAATCAGACTTTTGTCTCCCCCCCCCCTTCATTTATAATCTCACCTATATTGTTAATGCTCCGTCACTTCCGTATTACAGGCTCATCCTTTAAAGCTGATCAAGTTGGAACACATTCTTATTTCTATTGAATAAGAAAGTTTCTGAAAATGGTTTTTCTGTATAAAATTAAAATTCAACATGTTTTAAAACATGATTTAAGAATATGCTGAAACAAACATTTATAAATTAATTTTTATCACCGATCTGAATTATAAAAAAGTATAATACGAATATTAAACTCACAGGTTTTGACAATGAATTTGAGTCTTTTGTCACAAAATCAAATTTTCTAATCTCTCCACATGTAAACCTTTGATTTTCAAAACTTATTTTATCCCATAGAATTGATTTCTAGATTGAAGTTGTCTTATAGGTATCATGAGGGTATAGGTATAGGTATTAGGTATTAGAAAATCAGAGTTTGTTGCAGAGACTCAATTCGTTTTTATTCCTTTCTAGATTTTTTTAAACCACAACAAATGCAATAAAATGTGTTTTCCTCAAATCCCAAAAACGAGTTTTTTTTGCAAAAATGTTGTCAAGGTTGGTGATGAAAATTGAAATGAAATGTTGTTTACGTTCTTCATTATGAAATATCGCTTAATATCGCCAAGAATTTTGACAATTCAATTGTTTTTTCTTCTAAAAAAACATTTTCATAAAAAAAAAATTGGTAATTACAATACTTCTACAAGCTTCTGATACTGATACAACATTTTGTATGGAACAATAACTCGTTTTCTTGTTGGTCCCTATTTTAACCCAATGTAGCCTGACGTCTGGTTTACAGACTGGCTGTCGGGGAATATTAACAATAAACAAATGTACTTTCCTAGACTGTACAAATACCGAGATTCTTATGTACTGTATATACCTACAGTACACGCCTTCGGTTCGGTATTCCTTACACACACTCTTTTGGGACAGACACACATACATGACGTTTCCGCACCCTGATTATAAATCGATTATATTTTAACGTTTCGCAACAAAAAGAAAAAAAAATGAAGAGTTTAAACTTAATTTGTAATTCCAAAGAGAAATATTGTTACAAATCATACTAGCTGAAGAAGTGCCCTGTGCAAGCCCGTGGAATAAAAAATAGATAATTTTAATATAGAAAAAACTTCAAATTTTGAAGAAGAAAAAATTCTTCAAAAAATGTTTGTCCAGCTTTAGCTAACATAATAATATTATTTTTTATTGATTAGCATACACCTTGATATATATTATTGATATTGATATTTTTTCTAAAAGTTAAGATAAGTTTCCCCCATCTTGAAATTCAGAATAAAAACTTTCAAAATAAAATTAAAGAACAAAAAAATTTTGCACAACAAAAGCAAAGCAGCAATAATTAAAATGTTATTTATCCCTCCCCTTCCCAAATCTAAAAGAATTTCTTCTCTCTATCTCTCGTTTTGGACAAAAAATATCTTCCTATACTTGGCAGAAAAAAATAATTGTATTTTCTATGCGTACAATGAATTTAATATTGAAGGGAGCACAAAATTATTAAATGTGCAAAATGTTTAAAATTGATGCAAATTATATTTCTAAGGGGCACAGGTTTCTAAGAAGTACTAAATCAGAGCTTACATTTGATTAAAAACGTAAAAACCAAATTTGCAAAAATACAAATATTGATTGCGTAATCTATATAGTTATTAAGCAAAAAAATGCGCAAATTGCAACAAATTATACATATTTGAAAAGCCCTTGACCCGGCGAATTTAAATGTGCAAAATTTTTAAAAACAAAAACAAATCGATTTATTTTAGCATATAACACCACCCACTTATAATGTACACAAAAATGTCAGTCCAATCGATCCAGTGCACAGTGCACGCAACATATATATGAATGTCTTGTTTTATTATAAAGATGAAAAACAGACATTCCCAAGTTCAAATGACATTTTGTAAATGTTAAATAATTATTGTTGAACATTGGCATATTTTCTTAACTAACGAGTAGTATTTAGTGTATTTACTAACACCTACATCTCCACTTCTCTTTTTTCACGTAATTTAGCCTGGGAATTACGTTTAAAATAAAAATTGTTCCATTTGTAAAAATCCCCGAATCGATTAACAAAATGCGCAGTTCCCAGAATCATTTTTAAAAAATTTCCAAATTCAAAAGCATGAGTTTTAAAATATATAGTACAGACTACAAAGAGATTGATTCTTTACTTATGTTCATTTTTACGACTTCTACTTCTTACTATTATTAGATTTGAGATTAAAGAAAATATAATTGTTAAAATTGATGTTTTTTAGAAAAATATTATTTAAGATTCACTTAGGAGAAAGATTAGTTTGGTACTAAGATAGTAAAGGCATGTTTCTATGTATATACGTAACATTTACTATGTATATATATGTATATAACAGCTTATCTTTTTTAGACCTTATTCTAACGAAAGTTTTATTGTATTTAGAAAACTAGTATTTTTAATGTCCAATGTAAATGATTTGTAACAATCCCTTCCCATCCCTTCCCATCCCTTCCCATCCCTTCCCATCCCTTCCCATCCCTTAACAGCTGTAAAAATGAGATTTTTGAAGAAATCATATTTGAGAATACACTTTTTTGAAATTAGAAATACAGGTACTTGCCGTTTTACCGCTCAGCTTTTCAGATATTTTTCATTTTCTTCAAACCACGTCCTAGCTATGAAATAAAATTTTTAAAAGGGATCGTCTTTGAAAATACGAACTAACCCTTGTTTTAAGATAAGAAACACATTTTAGGTCATGTTAGCGCTCAAAGACGCCCTTGGAGGCTTAAATGATTGATTCTTTCTGTCAAAACAACCAAGCTGATTGTACAAGACCATGTTATTATTACATCTTCTTTCTTAGATTTTATAAATGGTGTACATATCTAGAGTAAAGGGCGGTCCAAAAATAGAACATTTGATGTGCGTAAATGCTGAAACTTAACTAAGACTTACTTTTTTAATCTCCTACTGTCCACATTGGAGAGCAAACGCAGTTACCATACAACTTATCAATGTTGCGCAAAAAGTATATTTCTAAAACTTATGATTTCTAGTTCTAAAAGTTTCCATAATTTCTAGCTTATAAGCAAAGATATCGTTTTGACAAATTTATTATTATTAACTAATTTGATCTGGATATTTTTTGGTTGGATAATGAATATATCTGTTTTGGACTGTACCCGGTTGAGCCTATATCCGTTTTAGGCTATAACCGGCTATATCCGGTTTAGCCTATATCCGGTTTAGCCTATATCCGGTTTATCCTATATTCGGTGTTGCCTGTATCCGGTTTAGCCTAAATCCGGTGTTGCCTATATCCGGTTTAGTCTATATCCGGTTTAGTTTATATTCCGTTTAGCCTATATCCGGTTTAGCATAGTAACTGGGGTAGCCTAGTATCCGGTTTAGCCTATGTCCGGTTTAGTCTATATCGGTTTAGTCTATATCCGGTTTAGCCTATATCCGGTGCTGCCTATATCCGGTTTAGTCTATATCCGGTGTTGCCTATGTCCGGTTTAGTCTATATCGGTTTAGTCTATATCGGTTTAGTCTATATCCAGTTTAGCCTATATCCGGTTTAGTCTATATCCGGTTTAGTCTATATCCGGTTTAGTCTATATCCGGTTTAGCCTATATCCGGTTTAGCCTAGTATCTGGTTTAGCCTATATTCGGTGTTGCCTATAGTTGCCTATATCCAGTTTAGTCTATATCCGGTTTAGCCTATATCCGGTTTAGCCTAGATTTCTGGGATGGCACTCAACATCCGGTATAATATACTTTACCATAAGAGATAAAGAGTAAATTGTAAAAAACGCAATTTTCTCTATAGATTTGCACAACTATTGCTTCTCACAGCCAGGAAATGCGCTAGTGTCACCAAAAAAATCTGATGAATAAGCTAACTACAAAGTGCTTTATAGAGTGCTAAAAGGTACATGTAAAACAGTAAAGAGCTACAAAAAAGCATAAGTATATTAGAGCGGTAAAATTTAAGCCCAAGGCGTTGCGACACTTCAAAGTCGACCCTGTCTTAAAAATGTATGAGACTGTTTATTTACAAGCAGGCTAAAAATGAATTTTTTCATTAAATGATAAAAGGTTAATCTAGCTTAATTAGGGGATAATTAGATTTTTTTTGGAAATCTGTTGAATCAAATTCGTTAGTTTTACCAACCTCATTAATTCACAAGAAAGATCTCTTTCATAATGTTGATAAACATTGAAAAACTTGTTTTTTACTTATTAACTTAAACCTGATAATTGAATCTGAAAAATCAGTAAATCTTGCACATATAGATCTAGACTGCTAAGAAACAGTAAATTAAGATTGGGTCGACCAGAAGGCAAAAACATTAGAATATTCTAAAACAAAAAATAACAAAAAATAACTTCAGTAAGAAAACTAAGAATTTTTTAGGCAGCTTACTTGATTAGAAGAAAATGAAATCTCTGATATTATAATCTCTATATCTTTGCAACCCAATGACGTAGTCCTTTGACATAACAAAATACATTAATTGTGTTAGTATAGTAAACAGTCTTCGTTTGAAATATAAAAGGTTTTTACCAAAAGGTTGCAAAGATATGGAGACTATTGAATTAAAGGTGTTGGCAATGCACTTAAATCGCCGAAATAGCGGGCCGCCAGATGTCTGCTCCTATTGCTTTGACTGATTACACATGGCAGAGACACCTAGCGGAAAAAAGTCGTTTTAAGTGCATTGCATATAAAACAAATAACAAATATTATGAAATATTAACTATATACGAATGCGTCGAAAAATAATCGATTACTTTAAGTCGTTTTTAAAAATTTTCTCATTAAAGATGCAACATATAGAAGTAGTATTATAGAAAGGATCAAAAGCGATTATTTTTCGCCGTAAGCCTATACCTTCTTTCATTTTTTGCGAACACTCCCTTTAAAGCTTTAATAAAGCTATAAAAAAGTAAACGTCAAACAGAGTGTGTCCTATCCTATTTTTTTGTAAATAAAAATCAAAAATTATTAATAATGGGATTTGTTTTTCTGTCTTGATTCTGTCAATTTCCTTCCATGCCAATGCTGCATGAAATAAAAAATTTGGAA